CATTTTTAGCCTAAAAAAGAGTAGATTCATTACAACATAAAAATATTAATTGTTACAACTTGCTCCAAGACATTGTATTTATAGTGTTTCTAATCTACATTTGCAAGTAGTCTAATAATTATGATAAAAAATAATAATAATTTGAAATCAAAATGGAAATATAATGGGGCGATGTCTAATTATATATATACACACATACATACAAAAAAGAATGTTATAATTCACTTGATTTGGACCCAAATACCCTCACTAGGAATCTCTTGATACACCACAAAAAGTAGATAGTACCCGGATGGGGCAAGAATGCCCGAACCCGGCGTTATGACCCGAATTTGATATGTAGTATTATCAAATGATGTTGTCACATTCCCACCACTAAGTACCAATAGCCTTTGATTCATCGAAAACGAGTGGGTCGTAAACGAGGGTGCCACCATCGTTACCTTCACCAAAGACCCAATTATCCTACCCGAAGCGACTGCGAAACCAATCGTCAATTCTTGCCCGTACCCGATTACAGACGGTGAAACGGGCGTAACGATTACCGGACGCGAACTTGCGAATTTCGAATCCAAATAAGAAGGAGAAAACGCTTCTAGGGTTAAATCAGTAGGAAATAAAACCCCCGTAAAATTATAATACGCGTGTGGATTATTTCCACCAACTAGAACCCGACCGTCGCGGAGTAATACCGCCGTCGAGTGGTACATCCGAGGTGTAGTACTCGAGTTTTGCACCTCGAATCTGGACCAAATCGATTTATCGGGTCGGTAAATAACGGGCGATAAAACCGGGTCCCGACCGTATTCCCAACCCGCGGTACCCGATCTCGCCCCGTTTATAATCAACACATTGCCATTTGGTAATAACACCATATCCCCCATAACCCGAGGACCCGGCATTGTCTCCACGACCCATTGAGGATTCGGGTCGTTTATCCGGATCCTGCCACACGTGTCAAGCGCTGGCAAAAAGATTCCATTTGTAGCGTTGACATAGGAATCTTTCGGAGCACCACCGCAAACCAAAACTTCTGCTCCGGAATTGTTCTTCAGCGGAAGCAAAACTGCGGAACCCGAACTCGGGTAGCTTCTCGGATCCCCGCCCGGAATAATCGGGTAGGTTTTCACCACGACCCGGTTCGAGTAATTGAACAAGATAGCTCGATTGTTGGCGAAGATGAATAAATTACCGTCTGTGTTCAGAAAAACAAACGGGTACAAGTTGTTCTCGATCAGCGGGTCGTATGTCTGAACAAGAAACGACAGGTTGTACGACTTGTAATCCGCCGGCGATGTTTTCGGGTAGAACTCGAAACCGAACTGCCGCCGCCCGCCGATGATAATCTGTTTCCCGTCCGGCAGAATGTGGTTCGTCGCGTACCATCTTCTCTTGATGAGTCCGGGGTTAATTTCCTGCCAGTCGCAGGAGCTGTCGTTGCACGGTCGGAACGTTCTGACGGCGTGGTCGCCGTCGTTGTAGCCTCCAGTTTGGACTAAACTTCCGTCGGGTGCGACGGCGCCGGAGGAGCACCAGGTGTCGGTTTGCACCGTGAGCGGCCGGACGGTGTTCGAGACGACGTCGTACTCGACCGAGTGGGCGGTGCAATCCACCGTCGAGTAGGTGTCGTTGGGGTCGTTGCGGCATTTTCCGGCCGGCAAGGATATGTTGGAGCTGCCGAAATCCGTCCGGTCGAAGATGACGACGCGGTCGTTGTTGAGGAGCTGTATGTGCATGGCGGAGACGCCGATGTTTGAGAGGAGCACATCCCACTTTCCGCCGGCGGCGGAGGCGCGTGGGAGAAAATCCGGTTGTGGGAACAGAGGTAGAATCAGTATGTGGAACGAAAGAAACAGAGACGGGAACATTATTCGGAAGTGATTGGGTGGGATGTCATTTGTTTGGTTTTAAATTGCCGATGTGGGGTCCACAAACGCTGACGTGAGAGAGTACCACGCGCATGCAAACCGCGTGGGAATGATTTCTTGGTGCCTGTTTGTTTTTTATTTTTAAATCAGATATGAGATGAAAATATCAAATCACAACATGGAATTGGATTAATATTTAATGGTAGTTATAACATTATATTAAGAGCATTTGTGACAGCATTTAGTTTACAAATGTCAACATTAAAATTGATGAAAAGTATGTAATGATTGAGGTGTTATAATAACAAGCTAATTATAAATAGTTCCAAATTGAGATGTAAAATAGTTGCAAATCTATGGTCAGAGGTAAAAGTTAGATTCTTACTGGTGGTGCAGAATTTATTACAAGAATTTATAACCCACCACCGTCAATTAAATTATGGTCAGATAAATGTAAATGCCTCTGCTTTATGTCTGTAAAATGCAGAAGATTGGTACAAGTTTTGACCTATCAACTGCTTACAAAATCGAGCCTGCTGGCCCAACTTTAGTTTTGGCCCATTATATTTTGGGCTGAACATCCTCTAGATTCAAATATAATTTGGGTAAATTCCAACCACCTCCTTCATGTAAGGTCAAATTATGAAAAAATCCTATCTTGTTTGGATAATTACAATCATCATCTCAACTATGATTTTTCTTCTACGTCTATCCTTATGGTGTCAAATTCAACATAATCTTCTAGGTTCCGTGGAATGTTCTCTAGTTTGTACTCGTTTTGTTAAAAATGCGGTTTCTAATGCACTACAATCTGGTATTTACAAGCGAAGAGACACATCTATGACCGTCTTGTTTCAAAATGTGGAGCTCGAATGGAGTAAAACAAGTACAAACTGGAGAATATTCTACATAATCTAGAAGATTCAATTAAATTTAACAACGTAAGGGTAGACGGGTAAGAAGATCAATAATTGAAAGATGATTGTAATTATTCAAATATGAGGGATTTTTTGTAATTTGACATTTCCTCATAGGTGACCGTAGTTTACCCTTCTTGTAAGGTAAAAATTGGGAGAAAAAATTAAGGCACGTGTCCACTCTTTTTTTATGCGATCCCCAAACAATTTTTTATTTTTAATTCCATAAAAAAACCAAAAGTAATAATAACAATTTTGATCATAGGGACTAATTTAGTAGATTTTAAATTTGATAACAAATAAATCATGATATTGGTCAACCAAGGGTGAAAATGTAATTTGAATAAGAATCCAACTCATGGACAACTCCTCCACTTTCTTATCTCATCGACCTGATGATTTATATTATTATTTTATTATATAAAAGGCCTTAATTAATCCAACAAAAAGACTGTTTATTAATCTCTCTGCGCCTGTGGATTCTCGCTCTTAAACAGAAGATACTTTCGGATCCGATCTCTGCAGAAAACCAAGTCGGAAAAAAAGATGTCGTCAACCTTCAGCGGCGATGAAACAGCTCCCTTTTTCGGCTTCCTCGGCGCCGCCGCCGCTCTAGTCTTCTCCTGTAAGATGTGTTTTGATTTTTTTTTTCAGATCTAAGGCTATTTCTGCCGCGAATTTACTACTTACTTATTCCGTTCTGTTTTCCGTAGGTATGGGAGCGGCGTACGGCACGGCGAAGAGCGGCGTCGGAGTTGCTTCGATGGGTGTGATGAGGCCGGAGCTGGTGATGAAATCTATTGTTCCGGTGGTTATGGCCGGAGTGTTGGGTATTTACGGTCTGATTATCGCTGTGATTATCAGTACTGGTATTAACCCTAAGGCAAAGTCTTACTACCTATTTGATGGATATGCTCACCTTTCTTCTGGTCTCTCTTGTGGTCTCGCCGGCCTTGCTGCTGGTATGGCCATCGGAATTGTTGGCGATGCCGGTGTCAGGTGATTTCTACACTTGGATCCTTCTTAGATTTGAATTTTTTTTGTTGATTTTTTGATTTTATTATTATTATTTTTTTTATTTTTTATCTCAGCATTATGATTCAAAATATTTTGATTTTGTGTTGGTTATTTGATTCGATTCGAATTCTGATTAGCAAAATCAGTGTTAACCTTGAAATTGAAAGATAATCTTCTGGATTGGATTGGATTGAATTGTGACTACAGATATCTAGTAATTAGTTACTGGATTTGTTGTTAGTATATAATTGAAGTTGAAACATGATATACGGACTGCGGATTTTAGGACGATCGTATTGATATCAGTATATAATATTATGGATTCACGAGTAAAATCTGGTAGACGCTTTGCTGCACTTATTGTATTTTCTCGCTCAAGTAGTCGAGTTACATGTCAATATAGTTGGGAGGGGGGTTTCGTTATCTGCTGCATCGGGTAGATCCCACCATACATACACTTGTATAGTTAATTATCCTATTTTACACACATCCACATGTGTATTGTGTGCAAATCTATGTTCGATGATTGTAAGCGGACTGGTGCTCACGTCACTCCGATTATAATCTACGTTATTTGCTTGTATAATTTACTAAATGATTTAATTTTATGCTTCTGGATTTTCTGTTCTCTTACTCGGCTCGTTATTTTGTATAACAGAGCCAATGCACAACAACCAAAGCTTTTCGTAGGGATGATTCTTATCCTTATTTTTGCTGAAGCCTTGGCTCTTTACGGTCTCATCGTTGGCATCATCCTCTCTTCTCGTGCTGGACAGTCGAGAGCAGACTAAGAAGTACTTCTCACTCGATTGTAGTTGAGATTTTTGGCTTGAAGTTTATGTTTGGGGATGTAGAGAAGTTTGATTTCTCGTGAATAAAAGCTCTTCTCGTATTTTTATGGCAAGGACCATATTTGATCTGTATAAACCAATTCATTTAATATTTTGTTTGTTGAAATTTCATACTTTATTTTTCCTGAGCTTTATGATGAATTTTGGTGATATGAACTGCTGGTTAATTTTCTGTCTCCAGTATTAGGTACTGTGAAATTGCTGTGTGAGATTCACCTTGTGAACCTTACATATTTTATTCTACAATGCTGATTTTAGAGATAAAATCAGCAAATAATTCTTTTTTTCTTTCTTTTTTCTTTTGGCATCTTGCAAATAATTCTACAAGATTAAATTTCCTCTACTGTCTATATTCCAGATTTTTTTGTTTTTGTAATAATAATTTTTTTTAATTAATATTAATGTGGTCACGATCCAGCTATGGGCTTGACTTGTGAAATTGGACCTTCATGAACTAATATTTAGTGGGCTTTTGGCCTTATTTTAAGATTTAAGGCCCATAGAATTATGGTCATCGGTCAAGAATCAACATAATGTACATTTTTTTTTATTCTCTGATTTTATTTTTCCAATCAAATTTATAAAAAAAGTTCTAAAAGTCATATAAATATGGATCATTGTTGCTCTAATAACAGTTTACTTTTCCAATCAAATTTGTAAAAAAAATTCTCTGAGTCATATAAATATGGAGCATTGTTGCTCTAATAACAGATTTGTAAATATCGTTTATGATGTTGTATGACTTGCCTTGGATAGATTAAACGAAAACACGTCGTGTGGGAGCTGTAGAACGTCTGAGTCGCAAGTGAACTTTTTAGTACATAATTTATTTAATTTCATCACATTCATAGTGTCAATATAAAAATTATATATTTATCAAAAAAAAAAAAATTAAAATTATATAGAAACGTTCTCATTTCTCAGCAACTTCCACATACGTCAGCACACACGCAACCAATCTATTTTATTTCTTTGAGAAATGTAATAGTTAAGCGTGTGGAAGGGGCCAGTCGGCAATAAAATGGAATCTCGAATTTTCATTTCCAACACCAGAAATTTTAAATTAGTCATATAAATAGTAATTTTTTGCTGCATAATAATAATAATAATAATCGCAGCGAAAGAAAAATAGAATTGAAATTCGCCGACTTCGATTGGACTCTTTCTCACAAAGAAAAAACAAAAAATCGGCATTAATTTTGGAGTTGCATGAGCATTCTTCTGCGGAGGTTGTCGAAATCATCATCAATTTTACTCTCCAAAATGGCGGAGGAGATCGCCTCATCCACCACCGCCGGCGCCGCCGTCGCCGTCGCGGCGAAGAAACGCTCGCTCTGGCCATCCCTACTCCGCTGGATACCCACTTCCACCGACCACATCATCGCCGCTGAAAAACGCCTCCTCTCTATCCTCAAGTAATTTTCAATTTTGAAACGAAGCTCCAATTTGATGTTATTTTGGTTTCATTTGATAATAACTAATTAGAATCGCCGTCGCTTAATTTTGTTTTGGGGTAGGACTCCGTATCGCCAGGAGCAGGTTAATATCGGATCGGGGCCGCCCGGTTCGAAAACCCGGTGGTTTAGGTCAACGAGCGATGAACCCAGGTTTATCAATACGGTGACGTTTGACAGCAAAGAGGGATCACCGACGCTAGTTATGGTGCACGGTTATGGTGCTTCTCAAGGCTTCTTTTTCCGCAATTTTGACGCGCTTGCTAAGCATTTCAAAGTTATTGCGATTGATCAGCTTGGGTAAGTGTTGGTGTTCGTGTTCGTTTTTCTCAGCCTTTTCTTATTAATTTGTGATTAGAAGAAGAATAAGGGCATAATAAACATATTTGTAATGAACTTGCTCTATCTACTTTTGTTGTTTCGCAGTTGGGGTGGATCCAGTAGACCAGATTTCACATGTCAAAGCACTGAAGGTTAGTTTTTTTAATCTCGAACTAACACTATCGAATATGCGATAAGTACTTGTTTCTAATTTCTAGATAGATATCAAATTTAACAGTTTATGTTATCGATTATAACGATGTGTATATGTAATTTTACGGGGAGCTTCATCTCTAAGATCAACAAGTCAAGATGGTTGTTATATGCTCTAAAATTTGATGCAGAAACCGAGGCTTGGTTCATCGATTCATTTGAGGAATGGCGCAAGGCCCAAAATCTTACCAACTTCATTTTACTTGGACATTCGTTTGGTGGATATGTGGCTTCTAAATATGCACTAAAGGTAGATGAATCTGAATATTTATTGTTTTTTTTGCCATATACCTATTTATTATCTGTCAATATAAACGATTATTTTCCCATATTTGACATCATCCACAATTGTTTACGTGCAGCACCCTGAGCACATTCGGCAGTTGATTTTAGTAGGACCAGCTGGATTTTCTTCAGAAGAACAACATATGTCCGAGCGGCTTACTCAATTTAAAGCAACATGGAAAGGTGCCGTTATAAATCATCTATGGGAGTCTAATTTTACCCCGCAAAAGATAATAAGGTACTTCTTGTTCTCCTTAATCTGCATATATGTCTTAGTGTCATTGTTTCGTTAATTGTCTTTCGGTCATGAGTGGTACCAACTGCATCACAACTACCATGAAGCCTTATGAATGGGGTGGCATAAAATTGCTTCGTTATGTTAACTTAGCATGATACTATGTTTTTTTCTCCTCGATGGAACTTCCTTAACATTGTAAGGAAATACATTGGAAATTTGCCACTTGAGATGATGCATTTGTGGTAGGGTGAAGCTGTCGATACGTAAGAGTTGGAGAACGAAACTGACATTCTTTTCAATCTTGAATTCTGTGGTCAAAATGGATAAATCATGCCTTAACTACTTGTAGACTTCGATACAGCATATACTACTTGCTCTAGCTTTCATCAATCTACATATTACAATCTGTTACAATCCTTTATGATGATGGAAATAGCAATATGTCATTTGTTGTTGAGCTTGATTCAGTTCCTTCAAATAATGCAGGGGTTTAGGTCCTTTGGGTCCAAATATTGTTCGGAAATATACAAGTGCTCGATTTGGCTCCTATTCTACTGGAGAAGTGTTGACCGAGGACGAATCTAAGTTATTTACAGGTTAGCTTGTGATTAACTAGTTTAATTCCATTTAGTGGTGATAATTTTTCTTCTAATCATGGGCTATTTTTTTCTTTCTTAAGATTATGTGTATCATACTCTAGCGGCTAAAGCAAGTGGAGAGTTGTGCTTGAAGCATATCTTCTCCTTTGGGGCTTTTGCTCGGATGCCACTTTTGCATTGGTGAGTGGCTTCATTGCTCCAGTTGTTTTTCCCGTTATACTGGGAAAGTGCTTTTTTTTTTTTTTTTTAAAATATAAAAAATGGGGAAATTGCTTTCTAGTTCTACCATTAGGATCTTATTTGTCAATGGTAAAAAACCTAGTAATTTGGGCCGTTTATGATTGCTGCGAGCTGTACCAGGAGTAAAATTAACGGGTTAACGAATCAAGAATTGAATATATTTAGTCTTAATATCAGGGGTTAACTATGCAATACAATTCTATTGACTGTATTAGAATGTGAACTTATGTGATTTAGCCCTTCTTTTTTATGTTTCCTTTTTAAGGCCTCGGAATGATTTTTGTTTGCTTAAATTGGGCACGGAGAGCTGGATTTAGGAAATATGCATCTTATAGATTAGAATTTAATAACTACACTACACATAAGTTTTATAGATTAGAATTTATAGATTAGGAAATATGCGTCTAATAGATTAGAATTTATAATGTAAATTTTACCGGTAAACAACAATTCCTCCCCGATGGAAATTCACAAGTTTTTTTTCATGTTTTACGTCTTGTTAATAATCTACATGTCTTCTTTGTGCAGTGCATCTGATTGGAAAGTACCAACAACATTCATATACGGTTTTCAAGATTGGATGGATTACACTGGAGCACAAGAAGCTCGCAAACAAATGAAAGTTCCATGCGAGATTATAAGGGTTCCTCAGGTATCTTTACATGCGAGATTATTTACATTTTTACGCCATTACGATACAATGTTGCTTCATTTTCTTTTGCTACTCGATTTTTCTCAAGATGAAGACGTAGTTGGAACTTCATATTATATAATTGCAGGGTGGTCATTTCGTATTCATCGACAATCCAGCCGCATTCCATTCTGCTGTACATTATGCCTGCCACAAGTTACTCTCACCCGACGGTGAGAGTGAGTCTCTACCCGAAGGCCTCGAATCCGTCTAAATAACTCCCCCAAGTATTGTATATCAAAGTCAATAAGATAGAATGAAATAAATAGTGTTAAATATAGTTGATTTTTTTAATTTTTTTTCTGGAATCTTCTTGATGAAATTTTCGATAAATGAAAGGAGGAGGTTTAAGAGCCGTTGGCAAAAAACATTCGGGATGTATACAACGTAAATTTTACAGAACTAGCTGTGTGAATGTGATCATATATTGATAGCTTTAGAAAGTTATTTCCATTGTTTACCCTTCTCAGATTGATATATATTCAAGTTCATCAAATAGGTTTGTTGGCTTGGATTGTAATTATATATATATATATATATATATATATATATAATGTTCTGTTTTTGTTTTTGTTGCAAGTTTCTTTGTATAATATGAACGAATCAAAATACAATAACATTAATCCTAATTTAATTTCAATATTCCTCGGTTTATTTTTTTTAATTAATATTGGTATGTCATATATCCCTAGAAAAAAAAAGTTGTAAAATAAATGC